TCAGCGAACCCAGCAACCTCTGAGGACCAGGAGGCTTGGGAGATCAAGCCTAGGAACATAAACATTGTGTAAAAAAGTTAACCGTTTAAACTATTAAAATTATATCGTTTAACCGGTTAACTGCTGGGGCTGGGGTCACTCCGGCCGGCTGGCACGGCTGGGGCTGCTCCTGCTGGCCTAGAGCTGGTGTTGCTCCTGTTGGCTGGCTGCTGGCCAGTGCAGCTGGGGTTAATGATGAGGACGGGTTAACCGGTAAGACTAATGCTTACTGGTTAACCATTTACTATTTTACATCCCTAATTATGCCACCACTGGATCAGGTCACCACTGGGCAGGAACCGGAGCAGTCCGATGACAGGAACAGGTAGGTGTCTTTTTTTGATGTTACTGCAAACGAGCACAGGCTGCGTCTAGGATGTGCTGAACCCTTCTATAATCTCCTGTTACCAGGCAGATTTTTCCCCTGGTCTGATGACCTTTCCCAACTTTGGCACTGTTACTAGGCAGAGCTCTTCTAAACTCATCCAATCAAAAATAAGGATTAAAATAAAGCACCAAACTAAGCAACAAGAAGGTGAGGCAAGATGGAGGGTAACAAACAATAAAACAAAAATGGCGGATAATCCCTAAAACCACTTCCAAAAGTATGGTCTCCTGAGTAACCAAGCCTGACAGCAGTGGGGACCTGTCCTGCTTCTACCACATCCAGAGTAGTTTGGAATTGTACCCAAAGGCCAAGGATCCATCCTATGGGCTGGCAGAGCGTTTGGCAGGGCATATGGATATTACACATCCTGCTCTTCCATTTGCAGTGCTATTGCTCTGGTGGGGACAGGTGGGGCCACCCCCTGTCTATCTGTATGGGTTCAACCAGGGCCAAGTGTCCTTGAGTCTGAAGGCTGAACTTTGGACAAGTGCTGAATGTAGACATGAATTTGCAGAATTTGTCATTCATGAAGTCTGGTGTCCATCCTGGTACACGGATCCATAAAGGCATCCAACCTGGTGGGAGGGTTTATCCACACTAGTTCCTCTTTTAATTTGTTGCAGAGACCAATACTGGTGGAGGAATGTGACATCATTTGAGGTGGTATCTGCAACCAAGCATCTAAACTAGGTGACATAGGAAAGGTTTGCCAAAGCTTATGTAAAGTGGTCTCCGTCATGTGAACTTTGTGAGTCATCAGAAATAGTGGGGAATACTTGCAGGAAAGAAGCCCAGCTTGTCAGCACTGGGTGGTCCAAATCTAGAAGGGGAGAGGCCTATACTAGGGCCTCGCCAGTAAGGAAGCTAAGTACCAGCCTCACCTTGACCTGATCTGTTGGGTATTCCTGGGGACTGGAGCACAAAGAGGAGTCTGCATTGGGTAATAAACTCTCAAAACTTGCTGCGGGAAGGGATGTATAATGTTAAACGGTAAGCATTAGGCTTATCTGTTAACCCCCGGTGCACCGGCTGGAGCAGCCCTGGCGCACTGGCCGGAGCGACCCAAGCCCCGGCTGCCCCGGGCTGGCTGCCCCTACCCCAGCCCCAGCCCCCTCACCCCCAGCCCCGGGCCAGCAGGAGCAGTCCCAGCCCCACCGGGCTGGCCAGCTGCCCCCAGCCGCCCCGCGCCAGCCAGCCCCAGCCCCGTTGGGCTGGCCGGAGCAACTCCAGCCCCAGCCCCGCCGGGCCGCCCAGGCCACCCCAGCCCCAGCTGCCCCATGCTGGAGTAACGCCAGACCTGGGGCTGGCTGGAGTGACCCCAGCCCCTGCCGACCAACTCCAACCCCAGCCGCCCCATGCTAACCAATTCCAGCCCCAGCTCCAGCAGGCCAGCCAGCCGACCCCAGCCCCGGATGCCCCACGCTAGCCAGCCAGAGCGATGCCAGCCCTGGGGCTGACCAGAGTGACCCCAGCCCCGGGCTAGCCGACCCCAGCTCTGACCATGCCAGGCCAGCTGGAGTGACCCCAGCCCCTCTCCCTTTAATCGGTCAACTAGTTAAACGCTATAATTTTAATTGTTTAAACAGTTAACTTTTAAAACAGTATTTACATCCCTAGCTGCAGGTGGCATCGTATCTCTCTGGTAACGGAACTATGGGGCTGGTCCCAAGCTGGAGTTGTAGTGGAGGGACGAATGGGTACTCACAGCTGCTCCGAGTGCTGCAACTTGTTCCTGCAGTTTTCCATTTGCAGATGCTGTACTTGATCCCAAAGCCTCTGGTTTCCAGCCTAGAGGACAGCAATCTGTTCTTGCAGACTCATAGGCCCCTAGTGCATTGGAGCTCCAATAATATCCATACTTGGTCCAGGCGTTCAGCAATGAGTCCCAGAAGAGACTAAGAGGGTCTGAGCAAACTCTCAGGGCCTATAATGGGCAGTATGACCTAATGGTTGGAGCCCAGAGTAAAGCCAGGGTCATGGTCCGGAGTCACGCCAAGGGACACAGCCGGAGTTAGAAGCCATGCCGTGCCATGGATCAAGAAGCCAGTGTTAATAACTGGAGCGAAGGCAAGGGAGTAAGAACAAGGTAAAGTAACATGAACAAGGAGCAGGGACCATGCAAGCAGGCTGGAACTTGGTCTCAGGTGTCTGGTCAGCAGCAGACCTAGCAACTAATTGCTCAGACAAGGGGAGTGGCATGGACAGGAAGAATTATGCTAAGAGGTGTCCAATCAGCAGTCTGCTGCTAGTCAGCTGATCCTGCTGAGTCAGCAGGTGTAGCCCCTGTTTGTGGGTCTATGTCTGTTCTTGTAGCAGGTTGGTGCAGATGATAAGGCTCTTGCTCAGCAACCCTAGGTTTAAGACCTGACAGTAACTGGCTAGTCTTTGATTAGACCTTCACTGCAACTGTGGTATGTGTTGGTTCCTAAGGCTGGTTACTTGTAGCATTAGTCAGATAGCAGGCATTAAGACTTTTAGGCCTACTCAGTGATAAAAATGTGTTGGGTGCAGTACAAGGATCAGAAATAAACACACACATTACCAGTTTTTAAAAACTCTTGTTTCTACATAAAAAACAAAAGTTTAGATTAGGCACCATCATAAATATCAAATTTCATTTTGGACAAAATACCCTGAAAGAAAAATTATGGGTGCAAAGCAAGGTCATGTTAAAATATAATAGTGATAAAGACATTAATATAAAATTCTAAAATCAAATGTGGACATCCTTCCCCCAAACATCACTGAAATAAATCGCATAATCACACAAGTAAATAAGTAGGTTAAATCCTCAAGTATAATTCTTCAACTCCACTGTTTTCATACTGGTATTGAGTCAGCCAGCTGCTTTTATTATACAAGAAAATATGGAAGGTTCTGTTGAAAATCATATGAAATACTGTTGCTGGGAACAGATTCTTAGTCAGTTCCAAGCTCTTGAGTACCCTAACAGACTTTAGGAGGTGGCATGAGTCATTTTTAACAGCTATCTCATTTGCTTTTGAGCTCAACAGACTCCTTATTGTGCCTTGTGCATAAAGTTTGGTTTGCTATATCATGCTTCTGAAATCAGAGGCCATTCGTGAGTTCAGAGTAAGCCTCTGGGACTAAGTCACTTCAAGAAAACACTATTTGGCCATGGTAACTGTTGCAGCTCCATTAGTGGTGGAAGCTGTAATTTCCCTTGTACAGTCAATCAGTTTCTCTGTCGGTTGTGTGGGTCTTTCACACAGCACACAATGAGAGAAAAACATTTTAACATATTAGAAAATCTGATCATAAAACTACAAAAATGAGCAAGGGGCATCAGGGCAGGTGTAGTACATGAAATTAATTTAAACTTTCTTGAAAACTGACTAGCTTTCAAGTAGGCCGTGTCCCTTTCACCTCAACTCTCTGTCATTAATCTGTTCAGAAAATTACAGCTAATGCTGATGTTGTGGCTTTCGAAATGATGGGCAATTGGCCTCCATTGGCTTTTCCAACTGTCAATCAGGCTTCTCTCACCTGTCCCCGCCCAACCAGGCGCCAGCTGATGGTGTGTCTCTGTCTATTGGACAGTTCTCCCAGATCGAGTCAACTGTCTGCCTCGCCAATTACATACAATCACTGGCTTCCCTCAGACAGCCAGTGGCACGGACATGGGCTAATGGTGGAGACCTGTGACTTGGCAAATCTGCTGTCAATCAGTGATAGGTGCTCTGGCCCCTAAGAGCAGGGCGCGCGTGTGGGGTTACGGGCATGACCGTTTGTGCACGCGCCCAAGCGTGGTGGTGGGGATGGGCTGGGGGGAGGAGCTGCTGCTGCTGCCTGTGGTTTCAGAACCTTGGAGAGTGTCTGAGAGTGTACAGGAGCAATAGAGGTGGAACTGGAGCCGTGGGACCGGGACAGCGGCCGCCCCCACCACTACTTTGTTTATCTGTTTAGCTTCTGAAAGAGGGACATTGTGAACCCCGCTCAGTGGCTGGGTTAGGGCTACCCCGGATACCATGACATCACCGGGCATGGTCACCCCGGCTACCCTGGCACCACTGGGCACAGTTGCTCTGGCTACCCTGGCACCACCAGGCATGATTACCTTGGCACCACCAGGTACAGTTGCCCTGGCTACCCTGGCATTGTAGGGAAAATTTCATATTTTAACACCTGCCCCTGCAAGCACCATCTTGGATCACCATAGTTGTTTGGGATCCATCTTTGTTCCCCTTCTCCTTCACCAGTTTGGTGCTCTTCTGAGTAAAAAGGCGGGAAAAGCTAAGGGGACGTGACTGGCTAAACTGCCTGGCAACGGGAGACTATAAAAGGCCATCTCCCCAGTCACCTAGGGCTGCCCGTCAACAAGGCAGTCAGTGGACGCCTGCACTTAGGGTTGCTGAGGCCATAATACCTCTGGCTGCATGGTTGGGGTTACTTGCCTGCACACTGGATAGCAGTCCATCAGCTATCTTCGGTCTCTGAATCTTACACACATGCAGGACACAGCAGCGGAAGAAGACCTGTGGGAGAAAGACTGGCATCCCTGGTCAGAGCCCTGTCTTCGCAAAGGAGACCTGTTGCAGAAAGATCAGCTTACCTGTCTTGGAGCCCTGTCTTGGAGTTCCTGTCTTTACTTGTGTCCAGTGCTCCAGTCCTGATGTGTCCATGAGGGTCCATCACATCCTGTTATCAAGACATGGTACAGTGTCATCTTTGTAACCTTTGCAACTTGCCCTGGTAAATAGCTTGGGGCCTGGGCTTTAAGCCGTGTATCTTGTTTAACAGCCGAGTGGTTCTGTATGTTGGTCCTTTTGGATTTGGGGGTCCTAGTTAAGTACGTCTGTTGTTAATTTACTTCGTTTAATAAACTGTTTTGCACCTTACCCCATTGTAAATCTTTGTTTTGGGATTAAATAACCTGATGATAGACATGGGATGGGGGGACGAGCCTAACTGCATCCTGGCCAGGTGAACAGCACCACCAGGCACAGTTGCCCTGGCTACCCTGGCACCACCAGGCACAGTTGCTCCAGCTACCCCAGCTTTGCCAGAAATTGCTGCCCCAGGACTGTGCGGGATAGTTGCTCATTTACCCCTGGATTGTGTTGTGGTGACAGAGAGCCAGTCAATTGTCTCAGGGCTATGGATGATCAATTGGTTACTATGGGACTGGGCAGAGAACAATTTTTGCTTACCTCAGGGGCATGGTCAGTCAGTTAATCCAGGACCAGGAGTATTATCCATTACTCTAGGTCTCAGAGGATCACTTGGTTGGTTATCTTGGGACCAACAGGTTATGTTACCACAAGGGACAGTCGGCCGGTTGTTTTGAGACCAAAAAGCAGTCAGATACCCAAGGACGGCTGGGGACCTTTCGTTGGTTACATCAGGACCACGAGAGACATAGGCCTGGGTACTAGGGGTGCGGGGGGTGCTGCAGCACCCCCAGGTGGCCCCGCACCCAGACCTCCACTCCCCAGCCCAGGGCTTGGGTCCTGACCATCAACCCTGCTACCTGGCTGCTGGCCCCGTGCCTGGGGCTCCACGCCTGGGGCTCTACTCTTGGGGCGGTGACCCCATGCCCTGGCTGCTGGCTCTGCGCACAGGGCTCAGGTCACGGCTGCTGGCCTGCTTCCCAGCCACTGGCTCTGTGCCCCATGCTGGGGATCTGCTCTTGGGGCACTGGCCCTATGCCCACTGCCCCACACCTGGCCCCCTGCTCCCGGGGTCCTGGCTGCTGGGGCTCTGCTACCGGCCCTACATGTGAGGTCCTGGGGGCAGGCCCTGTGCCCGGGGCTCCGCTCCTGGCCCTATGCCTGCCCCCACCCAGCCTTTGCCCCCTTACCCCTGTCTGGATCCCCCCTCCTGGAGACATGGCACTGCTCCCGGCCACAGCTGTGGGTGGGGGGCGCAGATAAGGGTAAGTGGGCTAGCTTTCAGTATCCTCACAATTAAAAGGATTAACAGACATGCTTTTACCCCCGACTGGTGAGGTGCTGTTTGGTTTCCTTACAACTATGAATGGTATTTCAGATAACTGAACTGCCCCTCACAGTCCGGGTGCATGTTACAACGGTGAAGCATCTTGGAACGGTGAGGGGTAGCTCAATACTCAAGCAAGTGAAAAGCTGCCAGTCCAGCGACGAATGGTCAATTACCCTTAAGAGTGTGAGGGCAAGGGTGAGGGGAGGATCAAGGAGAGCAGCAATTGCTGTTGCTGCTAGGATAGACAGACAGCAAGAGTAGCCGAAGCAGGAGGAGACAGCAGTGGCACGGAGAGAATCCAAGCTTAAAATTACCGTAACCTCAACATAAAATTACAGAAATAGCTGTTAGGGGGCCCTGTACAAACCAGAAAGCTCTACACCCCATACAACGTTTCTATAGCATTTCCAATCTTCAGAGCACGTCTGGTTTATAGCCCTGGTTGGCGTGGGGCCAGTAGGCTCCTTACGCGGCTCCCCGGAAGTGAGGGCATCTGCTGCTTCTAGGCGGAGGAAGGGCGCGAGGGGCTTAGAGTGCAAGGCTGGGGCACAAGGGGGGGCGTGGGATGTGGGAGGGAGTTTGGGTGCGGGGCGCTCACCTCGCTCGGCTCCCCGCAAGCGGCGACTAGTCCCTGAGCCATTGGAGGCGCGGCTCTGCACGCTGCCCCCTCGCCCCCAGCGCTGGCTCCGCAGCGCCCATTGGCTGGGAATCGCGGCCAATGGGAGCTGCAGAGGCGGTGCCTGCGGATGGGGGCAGCACGTGCAGAGCCACCTAGCCATGCCTCCAGCGCCTAGGGGCCGCGGCGCAGGGACTGGTCGCTGCTTGCAGGGAGTCGAGCGATGTGAGCGCCCCGCGACCCAACTCCCCGGTGTTAGTTCCCGGGATTTTTCACTTACCGGCACCCCCAGTTCACCCAACAGAGAGAAAAGTGGTGACTGGTACCGTTTATTGAAGCTGGTTTGGGGATTTTAATGTGGTTTGTTATTTTAATAAAAATACCCCAAACCGAAGGATTAAAGGCCAGGCTTAGGTAAAATAGACAGAAAAATAGATTCAACTCTTTTTGGATGCAGGTTTTAATCTTGATTTATGGTTGTTTATTGGCGTTGAAACAAAATAACTATCGAACGTGGATTCTGTGAGAGAATCTGATGCCGGGTTTGACATTATTTCTTTTTTTGAATATAAATTCTTAGTTTTGCTGCTTGCGGAGTTTTTAAAGGACCTTTTCAGGGCAGCTTTTACATCTGACAAAATGAAGTCCATATTGATGAGCTGCCAAAATCTTAGGAACTGGTTCCCTACCGGGTCTTCGACAGCATGGCTCCGGCGGCTGAAGGACCCGCCACCGAAGACCCGGTAGGGAACCGCCCGGTGAGTACCCCCCCCATGTCCTGCCCCCCTCAGAAACCGCAACCCATAACCCCCCCTTGTCCCCTGACCACTCCTTCCCGAGACCCCCAACCCTAACTGCCCCCCAGGACCCCACCCCCTGCCCCGTCCCCTGAGTGCCCCGACAGACCCCCGGAACTCCCACACCTACCCAACCCCCCCCTTCCCCATCCCCTGACCGCCCCCCAGAACCTCTGCCCGATCCAACCCCCCGGCCCGGCCCCGGCCTCTGACCCCCGCCGGGGCCGGGCAGCGCCGCGCGGCCGGAGTCGGGGCCGGGCGGCGCCTGGAGCCCTCCTCGCGCCCCGCCCAGCCCCAGCTCACCTGCAGGAAGCCCGGCTGCCCGGGACGCGGCTGATTCGCGGGAAGCGGGGAGGGGGCGGAGAAGCCGGGGGAGCGTCAGGGGAGGAGGCGGAGCTCGGCGAGCTGGGGCCGGGAGCAGGGCAGGGAGCTGCCAGAGATTTTGTTAAATTTAAAAGCCCTTTTAGAACCGGGACAACCGGTTCTAAAAGGGCTTCTAAATTTAACAACCGGTTCCCGCGAACCGTTGGGAACCGGCTCCCGCTAACCACCTAATATTGGGACCCTGTTTGGCACAAGGGACTAACGCACTGCCTGACCCAGCAGAACATCGGACCGTTTTTTGTTTTGCTACATGGAGCTGATTGTGTGAAAGCACACTGGTTCCCCCCCGCCCCCCCATCCTTTTAAAGATTTTTCCAAAATGAAGAAATTTAATTTCCGCAAAGTTTTGGATGGTTTAACTGCCTCATCTCCTGGTGGCAGTAGCAGTGGTGGCAGTAGCAGTGGTGGTGGAATTGGGGCTGGAAGTGGATCCGTGCATCCAGGAGGGACTGCAGGTGCTGCAGGGACACCCAGAGATGAGATCCAGGAAATCCTATCTTCGGATTATTTCCAGATTTGTAAGGTAAGGATTGGAGTGGCTCTTTCTATTCATTTACTATTAGAATTAAAAGAAAGAATGAAAGAAAAAGGCATCTATTGGGGGGCTGGGTGATGTGATGCCAGCATACCTTTTACTTGACAACTGCAGTGTTTGTGGTAGCTAACCCTGGAGTGATGGGATCGAAATCACATTTATGCTTGTTCTTCCCTGTGCACAGTTATTGTAGTCAACAAATTCATAAGGCTCTTAATGTCAGCATCAAGAGCCCAATCCTGAGCTCAGGCTCAGTTTCCAAATTGATAACACTACAGTGGCCAGGTAAGGAATTCAGACAAAGCTAGTAAGAATAAAATGTGCAAGTGAGCTCTTTTTTAGAAATTCAGAGTAGCATACAAAGGTGTTTTTTTTTAAATAAAATATGTTGCAGGTAATATTTCAGGAAAAGGCATTAAACAAAGGTAAAATCCACTGGAGTTAATGTTACACATAATGTTTTCATTTCTCATTTGTGATGCATTGAAAAGGGATCAATTATTTTCCTTTAATATTTGCGATGAAGACTGTTAACTATGGCAACATTATAATAATAGAACAGTATCAAGATTGGCTAGCCCCAAATTTGATTGGTCTTTGTTTTTCTTAGGTGTTGACCAGATCCTTCAATGAGAGTTTTGTCTGAGTAAGAAATGTAGGGTCATCCCTGTGTTTGTCTTTTTCATATTTATTTTTCATAATGAAAGCTTCAGCACTATTCTTAAATAAAATCAAATCAGTACTAGCTTCTCAGTAACAACAACAAATTATAATAATAATAAAAAAAAGAAATGAAATGTTGAGCCCAATCCCATTGTCCTTAACTTTGACATGAATTCTGTTGACTTTCACTGGGAGTTGTTCCTAAGAAACGACTGCAGAATCAGGTCCCTTAATGTTGAACTTTCAAGGGTGTCTTGTAAATAGTGAAAAGGAAAAATGATTTTTTTTTAAATTGTAAGAAAAAATTGCTAGTATGTTTTAAAAGCTGTGTTAATCTTCCCAAAATAAACTTCATCCTTCAAGGTTTTTGAAATTCCAATTTGGCTCAACTTGATGTATAAAACGTCCTCAAAGGATGAACCATTTATTTTTATTTTTTGTTACTGTTTTGCTTAATACCTTTGAAAAATAAAATAATTTGATTAACATAGGCATATAAAGAAAAATAAATGAAGTTTATGTGTTTAAGATACTTCTTTCTTAGTCAGCATAAAAGGCTATGGTTTGAAATTTGGGAAATGATCAAATCATATCGTAATCTAATTGCTTTGGGTTCTTTGGAAAAAAGAAGAAATTTAAGATATTTAACCCTGTAAAGTGATACATTGCATGTATCAACATAAATATTTAAAACTAAGGGCCCACTTACACTGTCATTGAAATCAAACAACTAGCACATTTTGGGGCAGAATGGTTCAAATTCTGTTCCCAATTAAAGTCAATATAAAATCTCACATTGACTTCAGTAGGAACAGGACCAGAGGGAAAATTACTTCAATGAGCTTTGGATTAGGCGCTGTGTAAATAATAATGGGAATTTTGCCATTCATTACCTTATGTGAAAGCAGGATCAGGCCCTTTGACCAAATTCCTCCATAGTCTAAATATGTGCAACTCAGTAGTCTTAATGGAATTATACCCGTTTACACCGGGGTTCAATTTGGCTCCTTTTGTGTATGTATACAATAAAACAGTATTATGTCAAACTTCAAATATTTTAATAAGAGCCCTGCCTCTCCTTTTTAACACTACAGTAATAAAAAGGAAATACAAATAATCAAAAATATATTACAATATCATTGCAGAATCTGACTTAAATCCACAAAGTCAAGGGAATTCTGAGTTAAGGCTAAAACTCAGCATGTTGAACTCCATGATGAAGTCATCTTACAGCACCTGTGATTTGTATTTGTCTCAAAATAGTATCGTGTGATATTACATGTCATATGTTGTAATACGTAGTCAAAATAGGGTGCATTAAGAATAGTGTCAGTTCATTTTCAGCCTTAATTCTGAATTTACTTGTTACTTTAAAATATGTCTGTGGTGTTACTTTCTGATGAATCTATCTACATACATGAGTACATTAGTAAAACATCATTTTTGGAAGATTTTGGCAGGCAATAATTGCTTCTCTTTATAAAATTAGCAGACTTTTTATTTTTTTAAAAAACATTATTAAGCTGAGTGTTAATATCAATACAAGAAAGCTTTAAGCTGCAGCAGCACTTGCTTATAAAAGCATGGTACTGCAGAGGCCAACCTGATAGTATACAAAATATTTACTTCCTTTGATCAAAACACATAGATGCAATAAAAGCAAACTTGCCAAAATATTCCATAAATATGTGGTGATAAAAAAAATATTCTGCCCTAAAGGTTATCCTTAGATAGGAATTATTCTGCTGTATGGCCTTTTGGTGATCTTATGAATATGTTTGAGTAAACCAACAGAAGACCCATAGGCCCCAATCCTGCATTTTGTAGCACGTGAATGGACCACTGTGCTCATGCAGACCCTCACTGAAGTCAGTGAGGCTCCATATGGGCACAGCAATCCACCCGCATTCTATAAAGTGCAGGCTCAGAGTAATAATTTGTACCATAAACCAATGCAAAAGAAATGTTGCAAAAGTAAAAATAAAGAAAGGATCATAGAATCTAAAACTTGCCTTTTTTTCAAGTTACTCCTACACAGACTTTTGAGATTTCTATTGAATATTATTCAACTGGAATAGGTAAGTTTTTTTTAGCTGCATGTCTGAGGTCCTGATCCTACAGCCCTTGCTCACTCAAAACTCCCATTAAAGCAAATGGCAAATTTGGATTTTTATGGGCTGCAGGCTAAGGACAGATAGAGCAACAGTTCAGCTAATCTTTTAAAACGGTTTTATTTTTCTTTCCTTTGCTGTGTCTTCATTTAGGTGTAGAACATAAAAGCTGACTCATACTTCAGAATTATAGGGCCTGATCTTAGGCACATCTCCCATTTACTTCAAATGGGAGCTTTTCTTAAATAAAAACTGCAGGATCTAGATCACAGTTAAGACTGGTTTTATTATTGACAGATCTGAGGGCTTTTTCCTCTCTGTGTATTTTGAAGGTGCTTATCATTGAGGTGTCTATCAGGTATATTAGTAAATTAGATTTAGGCACAAAGCTAATAGATGGAAACTGAATATTTTATTTTATTTGGAAAAAGCAACAGAGGGTCCTGTGGCACCTTTGAGACTAACAGAAGTACTGGGAGCATAAGCTTGTTAGTCTCAAAGGTGCCACAGGACCCTCTGTTGCTTTTTACAGATTCAGACTAACACGGCTACCCCTCTGATTATTTTATTTGGATGTGTTCACAATTGCCTTTTGATATTTATTTTCAAAAGTAGGGGACTACATTAATGATTTTAAGAATACAAATACACTAGGTTTGGAAATATTGTGAGCTAAATTACTATTGCCTTTCCTAACAAGCATGATAAATTTACATGAAGGTAATGTTGTAAAAATGAATCAGTGGCAACCTCTTTTACAGTATTAATATAATGACATGAAATTCTGACCCTCTTATAGTTGTCAGCTACTGTGAAATCAGCAAACTGAGATACAGATCACATAGTTTACATGGCTGCTCTTGGGAGGTGGGAATTCATGTGCATATCATAAAGATATTGATTATAGCTGGGATCAGCTGAATCAAAAATTTTAATGTAGTAGCTGTGACAGATATTGCAACCGCATGCAGTATCTGTGAGGATCATTTTGTGTTAAGTGTATGAATGGTTTATATAACACTGTGGGCCAGGGATTGTATGTAATTCCAAGGGGGAAGGATTACCACAGCTCCACAAGGAACTAAAAGCAGTAGGGGGTGATTAAGATGAACCATTTAGGTTATAAACACTCCAGAGAGCTACCACCCCTTGGAGAGGCTTCAATATACTAGATCAGACTGGTTGTTTTTTTAAGAAACCAACAGACAAAGAACAGGCTTTTGGTGTCAAAAGGCTGGGTTTAAGCTGATTTGGGGCCTTCTTTCTGATCCAGCAAATGGACAGGACCTTCTGTCAAAGAACTCCAACCCTTGCAAAAGGGTTGGAAAGACTGTGGCCTACTAGAGCCCCGTAAGACTGATGGGTGACCTCTGGTAAGCTTTTAGCATAAGTATAGGAACTTTGATTGTTTTTGACATGTTTTTACCTTGAGAATAAAGGTGCTTGCTTTAGAAGGAGCTGTGTTGTAACTGGTAATTGCTGGTAATACACAATTAACAGCTCTGGGAGAGAAAGCAATGCACAGGTGCTGGCCTTTAGAGAGAATGGCTTTCTGGAGGTATGACAGTGTAATGCAGGGAGCTGTGCACCCTTAAAACCCCAGTCAGAAAGGAGAGAGACATAGATCTCCAACCAAGAGAGGTGATGGCTGGGAGCTGGAAGCCTTAAGTGGGTTCCCTTGAGGGACCACAGAGAGGAAATGAAGTTGAAGTTATCCTGAAACTGTGACAATAGCCTCGTGCCAAAAACTGGGCCTGATCCAGGTGAAGTTAGTAAACAGGGGTGTCATTTACTATAAGGTGGGGGAGGAGCAGCTGCCTCTCCAGTCCTTGGTTTCCCACCCCCCTGACTTTTCATAGGTCTATATGCTTCATTATGTCTTCCACTCCCTCCCCCCAACTTTGGGTGTGATGATTAGGAGAGCAATAATTGACCAGTTTTTCTCATTCATTATGCTGTTCTGGACAGAGAATATTCTGTATGCTGACACAACTTTGCCCACCTTTTACCCACCGAATTTTTCTGAGATGACACCCCTGATAGTAAAGCTCAAATTGATGTTAGTGGCATAGCATTAGCCTCATTCTTTGGAATAAGGGTCATAGTTTCTTATATTTTGCCATCATATTAAATAGGTGCTTTCCTAACAGATGTTCACAGGTGAGTCCAAGCCACAGTCCACAATATGTAAGAACCTGTTGGACTAGAACCAGG